CAGCTTCCTTCTGGACACAAGACTACCCTACAGCTTCCTTCTGGACACAAGACTACCCTACAGCTCCCTTCTGAACACAAGACTACCCTAAGCTCCCTTCTGAACACAAGACTACCCTACAGCTCCCTTCTGGACACAAGACTACCCTACAGCTTCCTTCTGAATACAAGACTACCCTACAGCTTCCTTCTGGACACAAGACTACCCTACAGCTTCCTTCTGGACACAAGACTACCCTACAGCTTCCTTCTGAATACACGACGACCCTACAGCTTCCTTCTGGACACAAGACTACCCTACAGCTTCCTTCTGGACACAAGATCACCCTACAGCTTCCTTCTGACACAAGACTACCCTACAGCCCCTTCTGAACACAAGACTCACCCTACAGCTTCCTTCTGAATACACCACGACGACCCTACAGCTTCCTTCTGAATACACGACGACCCTACAGCTTCCTTCTGGACACAAGAGTACCCTACAGCTTCCTTCTGAATACACGACTACCCTACAGCTTCCTTCTGAATACACGACGACCCTACAGCTTCCTTCTGGACACAAGACTACCCTACAGCTTCCTTCTGAATACACGACTACCCTACAGCTTCCTTCTGAATACACGACGACCCTACAGCTTCCTTCTGAACACAAGACTACCCTACAGCTTCCTTCTGAACACAAGACTACCCTACAGCTCCCTTCTGAACACAAGACTACCCTACAGCTTCCTTCTGAACACAAGACTACCCCCATCAGCTCCCTTCTGAACACAAGACTACCCTACAGCTTCCTTCTGAACACAAGACTACCCTACAGCTCCCTTCTGAACACAAGACTACCCTACAGCTTCCTTCTGAACACAAGACTCACCCTACAGCTTCCTTCTGAACACAAGACTACCCTACAGCTTCCTTCTGAACACAAGACTACCCTACAGCTTCCTTCTGGACACAAGACTACCCTACAGCTTCCTTCTGGACACAAGACTACCCTACAGCTTCCTTCTGAATACACGACGACCCTACAGCTTCCTTCTGAACACAAGACTACCCTACAGCTTCCTTCTGGACACAAGACTCACCCTACAGCTTCCTTCTGGACACAAGACTACCCTACAGCTCCCTTCTGAACACAAGACTACCCTACAGCTCCCTTCTGAACACAAGACTACCCTACAGCTTCCTTCTGAACACAAGACTACCCTACAGCTTCCTTCTGAATACACGACGACCCTACAGCTTCCTTCTGAATACACGACGACCCTACAGCTTCCTTCTGGACACAAGAGTACCCTACAGCTTCCTTCTGAACACACGACTACCCTACAGCTTCCTTCTGAACACACGGCGACCCTACAGCTTCCTTCTGGACACAAGACTACCCTACAGCTTCCTTCTGAATACAAGACTACCCTACAGCTTCCTTCTGAACACACGACTACCCTACAGCTTCCTTCTGAACACAAGACTACCCTACAGCTTCCTTCTGAACACAAGACTACCCTACAGCTTCCTTCTGAACACAAGACTACCCTACAGCTTCCTTCTGAACACAAGACTACCCCCATCAGCTCCCTTCTGAACACAAGACTACCCTACAGCTTCCTTCTGAACACAAGACTACCCTACAGCTCCCCCTTCTGAACACAAGACTACCCTACAGCTTCCTTCTCTGAACACAAGACTACCCTACAGCTCCCTTCTGAACACAAGACTACCCTACAGCTTCCCTTCTGAACACAAGACTACCCCCATCAGCTTCCTTCTGAACACAAGACTACCCTACAGCTTCCCTTCTGAACACAAGACTACCCTACAGCTTCCTTCTGAACACAAGACTACCCTACAGCTTCCTTCTGAACACAAGACTACCCTACAGCTTCCTTCTGAACACAAGATCACCCTACAGCTTCCTTCTGAACACAAGACTACTACCCCTACAGCTTCCTTCTGAACACAAGACTACCCTACAGCTTCCTTCTGAACACAAGACTACCCTACAGCTCCCTTCTGAACACAAGACTACCCTACAGCTCCCTTCTGAACACAAGACTACCCTACAGCTTCCTTCTGAACACAAGACTACCCTACAGCTTCCTTCTGAACACAAGACTACCCCAATCAGCTCGCTTCTGAACACAAAGCTACCCTACAGCTTCCTTCTGGACACAAGACTACCCTACAGCTCCCTTCTGAACACAAGACTACCCTACAGCTCCCTTCTGAACACAAGACTACCCTACAGCTCCCTTCTGAACACAAGACTACCCTACAGCTTCCTTCTGAACACAAGACTACCCTACAGCTTCCTTCTGAACACAAGACTACCCTACAGCTTCCTTCTGAACAAACGACTACCCTACAGCTACCTTCTGAACACAAGACTACCCTACAGCTCCCTTCTGAACACAAGACTACCCTACAGCTCCCTTCTGAACACAAGACTACCCTACAGCTCACTTCTGAACACAAGGCTACCCCCCCATCAGCTCGCTTCTGAACAAAAGGCTACCCTACAGCTCCCTTCTGAACACAAGGCTACCCCCCCATCAGCTCGCTTCTGAACACTACCCTACAGCTTCCTTCTGAACACAAGCCCCCATCAGCTCGCTTGAACACAACACTACCCTACAGCTCCCTTCTGAACACAAGGCCACCCCCCATCAGCTCGCTTCTGAACACAACACTACCCTACAGCTCCCTTCTGAACACAAGGCTACCCCCCATCAGCTCGCTTCTGAACACAAGGCTACCCTACAGCTTCCTTCTGAACACAAGGCTACCCCCCATCAGCTTCCTTCTGAACACAACGCTACCCCATCAGCTTCCTTCTGAACACATGGCTACCCCATCAGCTTCCTTCTGAACACAAGGCTACCATTACAGCTTTCTTCAGAACACAAGCCTGCCCTACTGCATGCGTCTGAACATAAGGCTACCCTAGTGCTTATTTCACAAGGAGGGACACCAAGATTGGGCCTACATGGGGAGTCCAAGAAAGAGCTTGTGGCACGTGTGAACACTCACCAACAGGCAAACACACGACCAATGTACCATTGTAATTCAACAAATGTATTCTTGACATTTATCACTGACACCACCATGTTGAAGGTGTATATAACTGCCTTGTCACAGTAGTGTGTTTAAGTTCCAACATTTGAACCAAGTATGTTGACTACCACAGAACCTTACACTTAAAATGATAGTCTGCTCATTTATCATCCCACAATCTATAAGCAAACTTCTAATGGTAAATCAAAGTGTCATACTTATATTTCCAGACACAAATCCTACATTTCCAAGTAATGACATTAAATCAATATGACAAAATCAATACAATCGTAAGACTTGCATAAATATTATTCATGCAAAATCAGCTTGTTGCAGATAACACCAGAAGCTTAAGATAACAGAACTATTAAACAAAGGTCAAGTGGAAGTGTTCACAGAATCATTCAACACATCAATTAATCAATGTGTTAGAAGTGGAATAGGTTTCAGCTGAGTCGGTCACACCATATCTCCACCAGATGATAAGATGTGATGAATTATCTCCCTTGTTCCTCATAATCCAAGAGTTTATGATCAACAGGAAATGGTGACTGATAAACTCCTATATCATCGACCACACTGATGTATAGGGGACAAACATGCCTTCACAAGATACACACTGGACGTTTGATGATACAAGGGTGCTAGAAATGCAGTATGCTACATGGGATTTGAAACAGTAGTGTGAAGAATATCTTCCATCTGCTTTTGGATAACCAACTTATAAACATGAGCCAATCAATGTCCATATCTCCTAGACTTGATCAGTGGTGATATATCCCATAACAAAATGCTGATTTGTTATTATTTTCCAGCATCATGTTTCCAGGTTGTAAACAGTAATAAGTTGCTTGTTCGATGTAAAGTAGTAATTTTGTGGTCACACTATGATTCTTATAAAGAATGGCCAGTATCCTAATCTGTATATCTGCAAATCTGTATATCTGTACTACCATGCACCGCCAGTTCGAACACCCTTAACATTAACAAGAAACTCACAAAATCAGAATAGGTGTGCCAACATTACTGACCAACATAATGATCTGAAATTGCATTCATGTAAAATTTAGGAATGAAGTAACTAATAGGCAAATATTCAATAAGTTTCCAATCCAAGATTACTGGCCAGATTACTGTAGTTTCTCAGTCACGCCATAACTGATAACCTTCAGTCATATGATATAATCGGGTGGTATGGATACCTTACCGAACAGGAATTGTTGGCAGACTAAGATGCCATTTCTAGTAATTTCACTTTATAAATGATGAAGATGAATAAATATCAAGATTAATCAGTCAAGTTTTATGTCTGATGAAGATATTCCAGTCTGTATCAAACACGTTTGAGTCTACACAAGCCCATTAAGACTTTCTGCATTAATTTCAGTGGAGTTTAGGAGTCATCATATGGACTGTTATTAGTAATGCTTCAGAGCCTGAGCCGTAATTTTAGCACACTCACACTATCGACTAGCGGCTGGTCATGTAATATTCTAACAGCTGTCAACTGGGCAGTTTAACTGGATGCTCCTGGCTCAATGTTGTGTTCAGAAAACCACAAAGCTAGGACATGCCACCGTCTCTTTCTAAACATACAGTGTTCTGCTGGAGTTGCATGAACCATCTCCTTATAGGGGAGATAACTCCGGAATGAGCAGGTGTTAACACTTGAAAGGAAATTCAGGTTTTGTGTCAGCTTTAACAATGCAGTGACACAAGATACATATTCACCACTACGGTGAACCCCACAAGCATGGTGCTGACAAATCTGAGACAACAAGAACCTTTAATTTGAAACCACAACCAGAGGATCTTGGTATGTCTAAGGGAAGCAACTCTTCCTGTTTAGCCGGGGAACTGTTCACATAGACACACATACGGGTAAACATGACAGACCATGCTTCAAGTGACATGACTGTAAAAACAAGGGGAGATAACTCTGGCACCTACCTTCATCTGGAACGTAGAGAATGTTGTAGATCTCTTTCAGGGCCTTCTCAGCTGCATCTTGCTTGGCCGTCTTCTTGGTCAGTCCTGATCCGATGAAATTCTTGTCAGCAACGCTCAGTGTCATCTCGAAGATCCTGAGAAGATTGTCTCCCTTTTCCGCTGTCAGTTGGTACACAGCATCTCTTCTCATCTCATTCAACAGCATGACAGGATGTTTGTTTGAAATCATCAGCTTTGGCTCAGGGCCTGATGTATTTCTGCACTGTTCTATCAGGGCATTAATAGCAGCTCTCTGGTCTTCTCCTTGGGGCTGTTGATCTGTAGAAACGGAAGACATTCGTAATCCTTGAACTGTATCACCGCCATCTTGATGAATTTTTCATTGGGGATCATAAAACTTTACACCATTTCACAAAGATATAAAAAAATATATTATTCCTTCACAGAAAATCATATAATTTAAACCTCCAAATGTTTGACTCATTCAAAATACAACACTTAAACTACTAAACCAATAGGTCACCTGGTTTCATCGACATTTTTCACAAAACAATGTGCACTTGTTTGCCTTAGCATTCATATATTCCAAAACCCATAAGATGACAACTGTTTAAACAATAATAGCTTGAAATTCCTACACCAAATAACAAACTTCCTGAAAGAATTAGAAACAGGAAATCAAATTATTAGTATCAGTTACATTAAGGGCACTGAATCACCAACTGTATTCACAGGAAAACAAGGGATGGGAGAGTTGTCGAGATCAACAACATGTCGGGCACGGTATACACAAGATATTTCATGGTCAGTGTCTAAGTACACTCATGGAATGCTTCTACACAGAAATATTTAACATCCAATTTTCAACATTCAGAAACTGTACCATAATATTATGAAATTAACATCAGTTCAAAATCTGATACATGGTTTATGGGGTAATTTTCAGATTGTTTAGCAACAGCGGTGACTAATTTGTTTTTTTTGCCAGAGTTACATATATGTGATTGAACCTCAAGAAAGCAATGATCAATATAGATCAGGGTAGGTGTGGCTTGTCACTATAACAACTAATCTGAAAATGTTTTTATTTGTTCTTTAATGACTCCCAGAATTACTCCAGCAGCCTGTAAATAATCAAGTTTGGACCAGACAATCCTCGGATCAATAGTGTGAGCAGCTATCCACACTGTCGGTGAGTTTAATTACTCATGTACACATACTTTCATCAACAGTGTTTGAGTAAGCTGCATTCAGCAATATTCCTGCAGCATCATGGTGGGTGACACCACAGATGAGCCTCATACAAGCTGTGACAAAAATTCAGGCATTTGCATGACAAGTGAACATTGAACCTTTTGGCCACTTCACTTACACAGCCAATCAAGCCTGCAGCAAAGCCGCACAATTTTAACCTGTCCAGCGATGGCAACTGGGCTATGATAATCGTAAACAGTAAGTTTAGATTAATGTCGCTTTGAACAGTACTACAAAGTACCAAAGTGACAGGAACCTATGGCATGGTGATGTCAAACCCAAAATCTAATCAGGATGATTCTGGAGTTTCAATCCACAATGGTTTCTGGCCACCTAAGGGACATAACTCCAAACAGCGAACTGCAGCACCTGCCATGAGGTGAGGTGAAATTGGGTTTAACGTCGTGCTTTAGAATATTTCGCTCATATGACGACGTGCATGCGTGTGCATGTGTACGTGCGGCTGCTTGTACTAGCCCAGACTGAAGCTGCTTTTATAGTGCTAGCCCACTGAGACACATTATACTGACTCCGAGCCGACCAATCCTTGTTGTACCCATTAATGCCGAGCGTCTTTTGGCATGACGCAGTCGGGGATCAAACCTGCGACCTTCTGCTCTCCGGGCGGAAGCTCTAACCACTACACCACGGAGGCGGTTACACCTGCCATGAGTACATATGAGCAAATTCATTTAGCGGTCTTGTATTTTCCTTTGAACATGAATTATTTTCTCTGATACCAGCATAAACACACAACATGATATTTTGTTCCTGATGCTCAACATCCAGCAGCCCTGTAAAACATAAGTTGGTTCTTACATTCCGGAAGTGAGTGTTTACTTATGTGGGATATTATTTACTGAGCATATATTAATATTTACATTTGAAACCTTCCACATAAACTACACATGATATTATCTGTCTCACATTGGAAATATTTTGCTGTCTGTACAAGGTTCAGTTGGTAAGTATAAGAAACTCCTTTCTCAAAATAATCATCTCCATCTACACAATTTGGATTGAAGTTAACATCGCGTTCCAGTTACTCCTATAATACAATGCATTAAGTGTTTCCATTTGTTGACTGATCTGAAGAGAGTCAATAAATTCATAAACGCCATGTCTGAACATTTACAGAAATGTCTGCTACTACATACATTGGCAAGTTAACACTTTGTGAGTGAGTGAGTCATGTGTGGCTCATCAGAAAGTCTTAAGGGATGCAGGTGCTTGTCGCTAACCACTCTGGTCTCACCAAACTTGGGTATGTTGTCGACAAACTAAGAATCATAATCCAAGATAATCCACGATTCAATCAAAACATCACCAATAAATACATACAGAATTACACAAGTTCATCCTGTTGTTACACTATGTTGGAAATAAACATGTTCATTGGAATTAAGTTTGTAATCAAATTTATTCATGTTAGTTATAATTTTATTCAATAATGTTTACATTAAAACCAAGTTTACCCTGACTCTACTGTTGAATCAAAATATGAATCATGGTACATGTTGACTGCTTCATGTATATGTAAATGTCTCCTTCATTCAAAGGGGCCGTGGGGTAGCCTAGTGGACAAAGCGTTCGCTTTTCATGCCGAAAACCCGGGTTCGATTCCCCACATGGGTACAATGTGTGAAGCCAGTTTCTGGTGTCCCCAACTGTGATATTGCTAAAAGCGGCGTAAAACCATACTCACTCACTTATTCTTTATTCAAAAAGTTTGGACTACTTAGGTTTTACTGTGTAGTGGGATTCAAACACATGATTCAAGACATCCTGATTTCATCTGCAGGAGACTGCCTGACGGTCTGATAGTCATAAGCAGCCATGTTTGTGGTACATGCTACATGAGAATATTGTGTTACATGACCTGTTTTATGTCATATAACATTCTAATTTAACAGACGGACCGTTGTTGTGCCCTAATGTTTAAAATATTATTTGTCATGTGATTGTGATCGACCCCTGGCTTGCCTGGCCCTGACATGATACCTACAACTACTGGAACTATTCATTCATGGCTGACATCAATATATTAGTGACAAGTTGAAACACTGATATCGAACATCAAGGCTACACTGCATGATAAAAACAAACAATACATTGAAATACTAGTGTTAATCATTAGCTGTTTTTATCTATAAGAAAATATGTTGAAATATCTGGGCATCTAATTAATATGTTTCTACTCCACTTTCAGCAACAATCCCAGTATGAGGGTAGTGTACACCAGAAATAGTCTTATTGCAGATATATGGGGAATGAAACCCCTGGGTTTGGTGTGTCAAACTAACACCTTAACCACTGGGCTTCCACTGCCTCTGTACCAAATTACATCAAGTACCAACTCTCTGACATTACAAGAGAAATAGATATTTCACAAGATATTAATTTTAATGATTGTTGCAAAAAAAACTATACCAAATTGTAAAAAGAAGTAATTCCATGATAATTCCAAATTGTAAAATTCGAGAGGTTTTGATAAAAAAAATCAAGCATTTTACACAGCTTAAAAATTTCAAAAATATTCAATTACACTTCAATTAATGAAAAAGCACCGTGATTATGAACTATTGTACTTATTTTTTTTAAGGTTCTTTAAATCAATTCATCAGTCTAAGTTTTCATCAATAACTAGCCAACAAATATGACAACCCTCATGGAACACCTGATATCGTGAAATAAACTCCTGGCAAATATCACAAATATAGAACCCTGGCAAACATTTGCATTAAAAGAAATCATTTCAACTTAATCTTCTCGTGCAGTTTGATCATTCCATGACCCTACTTTTCCACATGTTCTAATCTACTAAAACAAAGTATGATCCACAGAAGTGCCCTCTTCCCTCAGATCTCCGTGTTTCAGCCTCTGTTCCTCCCAGCCATGAAACCGCCAGAGATCTGAACGAAGCTGCACCAACTGTTTCTACAAGTCTTGACTTCTGCTGAGCAGGTCACAAACACTGTTACCCAAATGGACTTGAAATGCTATCTCAATGCAAATGGCTGCACTTAACAAGTGAATGAGTTTCCATCGAATATCTCAACCAATCTAGCTTGCCATTTACATTGAGACGTGATTGGACATTTGCTGTGATTAAACATGATAGAGTCGAGAGGATCGGGTTCATTATACTGATAAAAATTAAGTTGACAGATGGGATTATTTCAAGATCTAAGGACAATCAGGAGGAAGTGTGGGTTAGCATTAATTACAAGTGAATGGAGAGAGTAACTTACCTGGAACTTGTAACTCAACACTGCCATAATGTTTTTAGGTGTTTTCTGTCTATTTTGAGGGTACAAAGTAGTAATTCCTTAATTCTTATCAATTTTAATTAAGATACAATAAAACTCATGGGATGTCCTCTCCATGTTAACCAGAATAAGACTTCAAATACTTATAATTATCATCAGATTCTACATAAATGCTAGTTCTATCCTAAGATGTGATTGATATTGGCTCTATGCCAAGACTGCATTGATACTGGTACAATGACTGTGACTAGCCTCGTCCTTAGACTGTGCACTGATACTGGCTCTATCATTAGACTGTGCACTGATACTGGCTCTATCATTAGACTGTGCACTGATACTGGCTCTATCATTAGACTGTGCACTGATACTGGCTCTATCATTAGACTGTGCACTGATACTGGCTCTATCATTAGACTGTGCACTGATACTGGCTCTATCATTAGACTGTGCACTGATACTGGCTCTATCATTAGACTGTGCACTGATACTGGCTCTATCATTAGACTGTGCACTGATACTGGCTCTATCATTAGACTGTGAACTGATACTGGCTCTATCATTAGAATGCTCTATCATTCTGCACTGATACTGGCTCTATCATTAGACTGTACTGATACTGGCTCTATCATTAGAATGTGCACTGATACTGATACTATCATTATCAATACTGATACTGTGCTCTATCATTAGAATGTGCACTGATACTGGCTCTATCATTAGAATGTGCACTGATACTGGATCAATGTTAGAAATATGCACTAATACTGGCTCTATGTTAGAACTGTGCACTGATACTGGCTCTATGTTAGAACTGTGCACTAATACTGGCTTTATTCTTAGACAGCACTGTCTGATTTACGGAGGACAGAAAATACACTGGCCCTCTGGCTCCCCTTCCCATGTAATCACACCATAACTTGTTTTATACCACCCACTTTCCACAATCCCACCACACAGGAGATAACTTGACTAACAATCCCGAGCTGTTTACCCTAGTCACTTTGAAGTCCATTTGATCTAACAAAGATTTGTGAAAACATATGGGACAGTATTTCACATCAGAATATTGGTGCACATAATTTAACCTAGTGATGCATCATGGGTAACAAAGCGTTGAACGGTAACTTCCTTACCCACAATGCATTACTGGGCTGGGTTATACACAACAACACTACATGATGCCAACACTGTTGAAGCACACCAATTCTGGCCAACAGAATTCAACTTAATGTTCAAAATGGCAAACTGCAATTTCTTTTCAATTTCCTGTCCTTGTCACCCAAAAAAGACATCTCAAGTCAGCTGAAATGCTCAATTGGCTGAGAAAAACAGCGGTCTCGTTGAACGTGCAATCTGCTGTTGATGCCAAAACAGTGAAATCAGATCTTACCAAGTCATATACATATGACACTTTCAGCCTCCAGGCTTTTTAAATATGATTTCCCTTGCGTAGCCATGGCCAGAACCTTTCACACAGATAAATGACAGAAATAATTATTCATCATATTCAACAAAAGCAGAGAACATCCAGTTATCGTGACTATGTTATGTAAAGTTCAAGTTAATGTAAATTAACAGACAGAGATGACAATGATGGCGTCTCGGGATCCAGACATTCTATGAAAGTAAGCATTAAGTTACGGGGTCCTCATCATTGCCCAAGTGTTTAAAGTACAAAATTAAAGCGGTTCACATATTCCAATACTGTAGAAACAATTCTCAAGGACCCTAGGACCTGTAACTCTGGGCCCCGTTCCTCAAAGCGATGGTAGAGCTACGACAGTCGTAAGTCTATGTTAAAGTATGGGAGTTATGATTATCTTAGCGCTACGATCGCTTTGAGGAACGGGGCCCTGACCAAAGCCTGGGATGAGGAAACAGCTCTGCTGCAGTCTGACACTTTGGGCAACACATCAGAGGCTGATTCTTGTACACATTCAGACAGTCTATCATGTCAGCTGACCTTAGGAAGGCCTTTATGTGCATGATGCAAGCATGAAATTCAGCATTATAAAAACATAGAGACAAGTTTGAGATTACCAACAAGAATGTTTTACACACATACAGAGAACTGATGGCTTGTAAATCTACAGAACAGTAAGACATTGTCATCCCTGAACACTAGTGAAAACTCAAGTAATAAAACAATTTCAATTTAATCTCACACAACATGTTCACAATAAATAAAAAAAAGATATGTTCAAGGGAGATTTGAATTCAGTTATTAGTCAAAGGGAGATAATCCTTTGTTTCAACATCTTAATAACAGAATGATCTTTTCAAAAGTGTTAACAGAGTTGATGTGTGAGTAGTTTCATGTTACTTTTAACACTGTCACAACCATTTGGCAGGGGAAATTAATTACAGGTTCACAAAATGTGAGGGAATCAAACCTGTATCTCCACAAACCAATCATTTCACTACCGTAACAATTGTTTGATGGGTTGTATGTTTGTTTATTGTTTAACACTGCACTCAGCAATATTCCATCTGATACACAGCTGCCTGTTAATAATATAATCTGGACCAGACAATCCAGTGATTGACTTTGTGAACAAAGATCAACAGAAGATATTAAATATTGGCAACATTCATGGGTTCTTACACATATATCAAGACTGTGGCTGTGATTCCTTTATCAATTGTTTAACATCAAACAAAGCAATATTCCAGCTAAGTCTGTGGTGTGTTTGGATGCGATGGCATGCAACCAAGGCTGATCATCCAATCAGAGAGTCAACTCTTAGCACAAGCACAGGTTGCAATAAATATCTGGAAGTTTTACGGCTAAGTCTCACGGCTGTGAACACCCAGAGACTGATAGATACGTTGGTAAACTTGATGATCAGATTAAGTCATTTCAATAACAAACACAATAATTTGTCTCACAGGACAGGGTACAAAGAGCAATATTGGTTTGATGGAAGCCAGGAGTGGTGAGGCTTGCACAGGCACTTGTATGATACCATCCTGGGCCTCTATAAGATGATTTTTTCTGTTCAGAATAGAGTGAAACAGTGGACATTCACATGTACCCCTCAACAGGGAGCATTACTCTATTTTTTCAACAATTCTGCTTACATTGAAAGGAAGAAAGAAATAGTGTCTTCACAACAGCAATTTCACTGTTCCAAATGTTCAAAAGAACCATTATTTTCATCATTTTTAGGCATATATATATAAAAAATCACAGAGGAATTTACAATAATGAATTTGGTGCATATGTCAGCAACAAAAACTTAATTATTCATCAATGTACGTGCCAATGATAGATTAATTTGCTGAAGAATTAACTTGTTCAAGACAGGATATGACTTAGGGTCAGTTTTAGGAGTCAGTCATTCTATTATAAAGAGTATATAAGAGTATATATAAAATCATCAATACATTTGATTTCATTGAAGTTGGAAGATGTTGATCATCAGATTATAAATTGTAAGGGCTATATTATGAAACAAAACATTGATTATTAGCCTCAATAGCTCAGTTCTGTTAAACTAACACTAGAAAGCTAATGACAATTTTATAAACAACAATTTTTACCATTATTCCAAAATGATATATATATGGTGTAGCAGACATAGTGTCCTTCACTTTGTGTATGTAAGAATGTGTATCCTTGATGTGGATCTCACTTCAACATGTACTTAATGACATATAGTATATCAGTATTATAATCATGGTCAGTGTTGATAGTGGTATCACATGAAACACTGATGTTTATCAATGAAATGTCTTAAACTGTACTGAACTAACCTACATGCAATATCATGTCAGCTTGAAAATGTCTTGGTTGAAAACATTTACTGAATCTTCTGATTTGGGTCAGATTTTCTGAGGACGCGTTGCTTATGTATGTAAGGTATTTCTAAAATAAACTTAGGTTATCTTGTGCTTCTCACTTTTACATACAATGTCCAATAATTCAATAAACTAAAACAGATTAAGCAGCCTCTCTGATCTTCTATAGTTCTTTCCTACTGATGTCAATAAACACGGAGATGTTAAACACTGAACCAATACTAATCAAGCGTCTTGGAATCCGATGAAAACAAATATTGTGCCTACAAATATCATTCATTCCTGTTTAGGCTTCGATCATGTAAAATGGAATATTGATGAGTGAATGTAAGACCATGGAATGGCTAGTGTGTCTGACACTGTCTGTCCCTCAACTCCCTGAACAAATAACAACGGTCTACATGAAAACAAACCTCCGGTGCCCCCATAAGTAAGTGAAGATTCTCCTCGTTCGATGCTGTCCATTGTAACGAGATAATGGAAAAAACAGAAATAGAAACTTGGAATGACTTATTCCGGCGGTGCTTCAAACTAGCGGAAGTACAACGTGCGGCTCAATATTCTACTATCTTGACAACTTTCTCCAGGAGTTGAACCGTAGGAGCACTGCAACTGGTCTCCCCTGAATAAAGACGCTATAAATACATTTTTGCTAAAAAGATAAAAATGTGGCCGATTATGCATTTAACTAATGTTATGTAAATTCTGTTTTGCTGATCAGATGTTTAAACAAGCTCCAGATCTGAGTATTGGTCCATCTCCCTACAATCAAGATAAGCATTGATGCCGATCTGGTAAACAAACACACTATTTTTTTTATCTCGCGAACCCGACGATAACACATTGGTAGTTTCTATTCACAACGGGCGTTTGTTATGGCACCATTAGTCTCTCTTTGGCACTAGACCGTTTTCACCTTATCTCCGCCAAGATCAGTAGTGTTTTGACACAATTTTTAGATACGGTCTGTAACTTTCGAGGGTACAGTGAGTGAGTATGGTTTTACTCCGCTTGTAGCAATATTCCAGCAATATCACGGCGGGGAACACCAGGAATGGGCTTCACACATTGTACCCATGCTGGGAATCGAACACGGGTCTTCGGCGTGACGAGCGAACGCTTTTACCACTTGGCTACCCCACCGCCCCCCGAGGGTACAATATGTCCTATATTCTACTAGAAACAAGTTGTAAGTTGGGTGTTGCAACTCACACTGGTAACTATGATAGAATCTTGCCGTTCGTGGGCTCCCTTTGAGTACTATATAAATACTCCTTTGGTTTGGGAAAAGCAAACTAAATACAAGGCCCCAAGAATCACCTTTCTAAGGAGTATTGTAATTGTTACCTGACGATTTCACGATTCGTCGATGCATGGCGAGTTCACACAGGTCTGAAAACACGATATGTGATCAATCTTCCCATTTACTGATTCGTGTCAAAACTGGAATGTCTAAAGGCGTTTTACCATAATCTGTTGTGATGTATATCCTACTCAGTCACGAAAAACCCGTGAAGATCCGGGTTAGAATTGATCTCCAGTAACCCATGCTTGTCGTAAGAGGCGACTAACAGGATCGGGTGGTCAGGCTCGCTGACTTGGTTGACACTTGTTATCGTAACCCAATTGCGTAGATCGATGTTCATGCTGCTGATCACTGGATTGGCTGGTCCAGACTCCATTATTTACAGACCGCCGCCATATAGCTGGAATACGAGCTATTGTAGTTCGTATTGCTGAATGCGGCGTAAAACTAAACTCACTCAATCAATCACGAAAACACAAACGGTTATTCCGATTTCTAATCACAACAAACACATCCATGGTTAATTTCCTTGATTAACCAATCAAGTATGACCCCTAAATTAACCACTCATGTGTGATACCTTCCTTGACACGCCAAGCTTGTGCAGTACGTGTGTTTTGAAGACAACCAAACATGCGCGTTGCATGAATTAACTAGATTAATCAATCATGCGTGATGCCCAATTCAATCAGCCATGTACGTTAATTACCAAGGGTAACTAATCATGCAAAGTTAGGTTATTAGTATTTAGTATGATGTAGACAAAGGCTGAGTGTTTACACCTCAGCATGTTAGCTGGATATCACATTCGTCGCTGTCCAGCGAGGACATAGTAGCTGCACCTCCTTACTTCCAGTGTGGCATGGACAGTGCTTACTCCCCCGTGAGATGGAATTTTGGGAAATAAAAGAGAGAAAAAAGGCAAATTATGGTTGTTTATTATATATAGTTTATTCTTTCAACATCCTTCCCGGCAGCATTAAAGCATAATTGTGTATATTGAACTTTCACATGGGCTACAAACGTGACCCTATATACGTTCCTAAGCGTAATCTATTCCATGTAGAAGTAAATATAGAACATGTCCTGCGTGTTCGGTTGATGGTACTGTTGTACGGCTTTCAGACCAACATGATTTGCCATTGAGAAAAACATACAAATATTTAGATTATTCCAGAACATGAACATTAACACAAAATAGACTTTAGAAATATGTATTTCATTGCTAATATATCTGTTGAGAGAGCACTATAAGCAATATGTTGGTTGATTACATGTCAGCAATATTCCGACGTGGTTCACCAAATTGGGTTTCACATACTTTGGGGATCGAAACCTGAACTACAACATGAGAAGCCTACGCTTTAAAATACCCCATGACACGTGTCCCGCCACAATATGTTCACAGAAACACCCACTGCCAACAGAATAAAGGCAATACAGGTTTTACGTGTTGACATAGATTAAATAATAACGACATCAGTATCGGAACTGCATGCAAAACGTCTGTTTTACTATAACCAGAGACCATGTAATAGATAACCAGTAAATTGTAGTTACGTGCCCTTGGAGGGTTTAATTCTTTTGTACTCTGGTTGTAAATAATGTTGTGAGAAACTATATGAAATTCAATATGTTATGTGAACCAAAACCTATGCATCAGTTAGATCAAGTAGTAACATGTTGGTATGACACTTTACAAGGACGTGCATTTAAAGTATATATAACCTTTTCGAGTTCATTTCGGGAAAGAAAGTATTCTGTAAGAGTTGCTAGGTAAATAGTACATTATAACTTCACATTCTCCAACATGGCCGCCCCCAGCGAATGTGGAATCAAAGCAAGATTTAGTTTTAGTATTATTGGAATTTTAATCGGTGTATCCATATTTCTCACATTTGGACTCCACTACAAGAACTGGAACGTGGCATTGTGGGGTTTGCTATCAGGTATGTTGGTTGTCATCCCGTCAGCATTTCGTTACATATTTTGAACTCGGTCAGTGTATACATGTCAACAAATGTATTTCGCAATATGCTCTAACCTCTGTTCATTGTTGTAACTAATTACTCTGTTGGACTAATAATTATTTAAACGTCATGCGTGACCCTATCGATTGCTTTGGTAAATTAACGATGAGTTATTATGATGTTGAAAATATGACCCTCCTGAAAAGCAATGTCATCTTGTTTACTTTACACTGAATACCCTGAATATTTTAAAAGTGCAGTTGACATATTTAGGAGGCATATGTAGTTAGATGGTGTTTTGTCACTTGATATATCTATAAAAAATCCAGTCAAACAGATTGCTAGAAGTGTTGTTTTTTGTTTTGTTTGTTTTTTACACCTACAAAACGTGACACGCCTAATTCTATCCAGGGCATCCTTGCCTAAACCTTATTCCTCAAGTAGAAACAATTAAGTGTACTCTATGAAAACATGTATAGGAAAACAGCCTTTCAAGAGCAATTTTATCACATTTTCAAGATAATTTAATGTGAATATATTGAGTTGTTAATGTTGTTTTATTAAAGGTCACATGCAACGTAAAACACAACTTTGCAGATTCTGATACCTTTAGGTATGATCTTACCGAAACAAATAATCAAAAATGCAAATTTAACTTATAAAGTTGAAAAATAATGAGATGAAAAAACCCACGCAAAATCGGAGTTCAAACGATTCACTAATTTTCCCCCAGTGCTTGGGGAAAAAGTGGTTTCAACAGCTGGGCTGGGCTGCGCTGCGCTCATAGCACATGCACAGTGAAATAGTTTCGCGCAGCTTGGAAGCGGATTGTCCGGTGAATACTCGGTGAAGGCTTTGGTGTGAGCTATTTTGCTAATGTTTTGTTGATATTTCACAGGTGCGAGCTTTTTATATGTTATGACAGTAGATTACTGATTAAACTGTTTATATAATTTCATTTGTCTATTTCACCACACGTTTTTCTTACCGAGTGGCTTTCTCAGTTCGATACTTAAAAGCAATGTCATTATTTAGCGTTGACAGAATTTCTAACTGTGATATAGATATGTCGTTGTCACAGACAAAACTCAATGTCTGTTTTATTGACACCTATGTTATTGTATTGTGTATCATGATAATCACTTCAATTATTACAGTAATTACATTGCAAATGATACCTTAGCTCAGGTAGTAGCAAACTCAGTGATAACTTATTGTTACTTGATTGGAATTTGTACAAAAAAGTATTTGGACTTTTTTTGCTTCCCTGTAGACAGGCGCTTATAAATTTTGTTGCGTTCATTGTCAATTTTTGTGAGTATAGGAGGCAGAAATTCACGTCCTGTAAATCCCTGTTATTGTTATTATTATCATTATGAAACGTGTTACTTTGAGCTTTCCTCCCACACTGAGTTGAGATGACAGACTATTGACTTACTGTTGAAAACAGCCAGCTCACTGACATGTTCTTCTGCCTCCAGGTGTTGGAGCGTCCCTGGCTCTGTTCGTCCACATCCAGTACACCAGGAAGGTATGGCAGACATTTCCATACAGACTGAAGTACTGGATGTTGTGCGGATGCTTCATCCAGCTGGCTGGGGTCTGTGGCTTTGTGGCCTATATCACACTGGCTGTCACCATGGGCCAGGGTAAGGAAGGTTTTACTTATTATGCTTATATGAGGAATTATCCTTGTCCATCTTATAGTTACAAGGTGGAATGTAAGGCATGGGGATCTTGTTGGGGAAGATTGTTTCTGAGATCACCGGGGCACTTGACCCGTAGAAAGTATTAGTATTTGTTGCATTGTTTAATTCATTTATTTATTGATTCAGTTACAGATTTCTATGACCTTCATACAGAATATATCCGTTAACGTTCACAGTTGGTAGGGAGGGAAATCATCCCTTCATAAGAAACAAAAATATGAATAACCAAATTTGGTCTTCATCTTTCCTTGGCACCCTATTTTTGAGAAAGAAAAAAAAATTCACTCAAAAGATGATCGTCCTAACTTCCCAGTTACCCTGTTGGATGCAGACTGTATGTGCTAAACTTAGACACCTTCTGCCATTAGTTATCGTACAGTATCAAATACTAAGGTCTGATTTCAATGAAATTGGTGAGTATTATTCTTCTCCAGAAATATTTTAGTGTGAAAAACAAGGTTCATAAAAAAAGGATTCTTTGATATTGTACCTTTACTGTTTGTTTCCACTCAGGAGGAGAACTGTTGGCAGAAAGGCAGTATTTGAGACTAAATAAGGCTTTAAATTATCAAGTTTATGAGAAGCTCATAATGTTGTTTTGTTCATATTGCTTAACCTAGAAACCTCAAAATCTGTAAACAATATGTATATGTGTCCCTGTTCTGACATCCAGATCTGATTAAGGGGCGGTGGGGTAGCTAAGTGGTTAAAGTGTTTGCTCACCATGACAATGACCCGGGTTCAATTCCCAACATGGGAACAATGTGTGAAGCCCATATCTGGCTTCCCTGCCATGCTATTGCTGGAAATGTGCTGAAAGGGGCATAAAACTAAACTCACTCACTCACTCACATCCTGTTGGTGTCATCATAAAGATTGGTTTGTTCGTATGTCCAGGTCTGATTGTGTGGGGCAATGGCTACTATCTGACATCAGTGTGGTGCTTCATGACGTGGAAATGGGGGTTCCTACTCTTCTACTTCTCCCGGTCATATAAACGATTGTATGGCGACATCTACACCATCCTCCCTCAAGATCCCAAAGACAACATCCATGGCTACTACTCGGACAATTGAACCAAGGGCCACAACTCTTCTACGTTACCAAAACATGCTCAAGCTGCCCTTTTTACAACACAATGAAGTGGAAACAGATTCAGATCAGTTATTCTCATATCAATGGCTGTCATATGTTTTTATTAGTTCTTGCCATAGATATTTAAATTTGTCTACTTTTATATCTTTTGATAATATTTGATTCACATCTTTACTTTTTTGCTGATACAATGTTTTAAGTCTCAAATAATCTATAGATTTTGTATTGTCTTGTTTGCCATCTAAACTAGATATTAGTACTTTGCCTTTTGCTTATTTTCATAAAGATCACTAAAAGTCAAGAGAGTGTTCAAATCATTGACTGTACAACATTTACTTTACATGTTGTTAGTTTCATGAGGGATAGTTTAGACATCCGAGATTGAGTTTTATTGTGATGATATAATGTCTTCCATTTAATGTTATGATGTGAGACTATTGAGATAGGTGAATGAAAGAAAGCGGAAGAAGTTCTATAATTTATGAATACAGCTTTGTTTCCTCTGTATGTATTTGATTTGTAACCCTAACACATGTACAGTGTACGAGTGACGGGATCGGGTGGTCAGGCTCGCTGACTTGGTTCATGCATGTCATCGTATCACAACTGCGCATATCGATGCTCATGATGTTCATCACTGGATTGTCTGGTCCAGACTCAATTATTATTATAGCCCACTGTCACATATCTGGAATATTGCGGAGTGTGGTGCAAAACAACAAATAAACAAACAAAACAAACAGGAGCCCTCATATTCCAAACAAACGCGGCCTGGAATGCCCACATGTAGGGCTGTTACAACCAACTCGTGTATTTGGAAAATCAATTCATGAATTCAGTTTGTTATTCATGATTATTAGAATCAAATATTTATTAATTTTGTCGGAAAAATGTATTTTACTTGAATTTGTCTCTTATTTATCCAAGCAAGATAGGCAAAATGGAGGATATCAAAACCAGCCAGGATAATAGTATATATTTATTGTGACAGTAATGTGCTCACTGATCACTGTCGTGAAAGATTTAACACTTTCACCATGATCAAAACATGTCAGATGGTATATTATGTTATTATTTCACTGAATGTTATAGTGTAAACATCAACTGGTGATGAGGTATGGTATTCGGGAGAAATATACATATTGTTTACCCTATATTCTGTGATATGTATAGTATTAGCCTCATAGTAGAGTCGTTCCACTCAATCCGCATGTTGACAAAGGGACATTACTCTGTAACCACAATTCATTAACCTGGAAATGTATTAATCCAGAAGGGGATGGGTTTTCACTGTACATACTATGACATGTTCCATACAAATTCAACCACTGAGATAGGCCATCTTGCTAATTATCCCTGGAGTGTGACAGTTACGGTCAATCGAAAACCCTGCACAACTGTTTAACGCAAATATAATCAGAGCTTTCGCAGCATTGTCTTTTGGACAACAAGGGTTTCTTGTAATCATTTTTCCTGTCAATTTTTACTGAATTGTGTTATCTTTTCAGTTTGAGACTGACCATTTGAATGATTGTTTTCATTTTATCAAAATTAATGTCCATGTGAACATTGTCTTGACTGAAAAAAACTTTTGGGAGTAATTCATCAGTTTATAGTGGGGTAAATATTTATATTTTTGTGATATCTTATCTTCAGCTCTCTCCCTCACTCACCCACCCAAAGCCCAATCACTCACTCACTCACTTGAGTGACTTTACACTTACAAGACTTGTACTTAACGTAAGAGGGAGTTGATGTTTGTGGCAGCAGACCTTTCCTTCTGTCACTCTTCTGTCTGTGACGTCACTAAGAGGCCCATGCCGACCTGGCAGCCATATTTTCAGGACTGTTGTTGATTCCTACGATAAAGTTCACCTATTCCCAAATGTTGTTAGTTGTTTTCACTTTCAGGTTGTGTTCAGTATTTCTACAGGCCAGGCCAATGTGTTGTTTGTTTTACAGAATTGCCCATAATTGGCATTCATGGGCACATGTTCCAATTTACTGGCCATTTGTTTGAATGTTTACTTAAACTTGTGTCTAAGTGTTGTTTTTCTTAATAAATCACGAACAAACAATGGCAACTTATACCTGGCTTATAGACACAAAAAATCTGTAAACCCTCCAAAACACATCTGGCCTTGGCTAACTGAAACATGTAATTGATGGTCATGTCATTCCGGGGTGTGAGCTTGACAAAGGCATAGGCATAATAGCACAATAGTTTTAGTTACAATTGTTATGTTTTGTTATAACATTGTCTTTCAATTTTCTCATGAGAACTATCTCATGTGAATGTTTTTTTACACTGATACTCTAGTTATGGTATCTGATGTAAGGTATCATTTTAGTGATATTGATGAAATTCAAGATGGCTGCATCCTTCAAGGTGTTATCCAGGGACAAAATCCTATTAATGATAAATTGAGTCAATAGCTCTATATATATTGCAAAGAGTATTTTCAAATTTTCTTTACTTTGTTTTATATCGTATATATGTTTGTGAGATATTTTGTTACCAACAAAGGAAGTTGCAGGAACACACCAAGATTGTGTTTGTTTCTAATTTACTGCCAATAGCATGGCCGCTACAGGAGCTACTTCATGTCCTCTTGCAATGTCGGGATTGCCGGTTCCTTGCAATGGAACTATGCCCCTGTGGTGAAACTAGAAAACAAAAGTGTAGAAGCTCTGACGTTTGGAAAATATAGAATGGGTGAAAAACATGACACGCTCCATGTCCATTGTTTTGATAGAATATGGAAGAAAATGGCATAATTATTGTGATGGGTTCAAACACACTAATGTATCGATGAATCACATCTACGTAATACACGGAACACCTACCTATGTAGCAATTCATTTTCTAATTCTATATTGTTTTACAAAATGTGATATTTACAAATTGTTTGATCAGCATTCTAGAAGCTCGCGAGTCAAAAATGATATTTACAGTTTCACAATTTTGCTACCTACTCACACAAGCCTTATTGCCTATGTTGGTATCTCTCACCTAAATATTATACATTATTTTGTTTGCTTCCATGAATGTAATACTTAAACTAAGGAATGTTTAGGCTTTGAATGCCACTCTTAATTTCTCTTCTCTTTAAATTCAATATTACCAGAATGTAGGATTTACTGAATAACATAAATAATAAGATGAAGAGCTGCAGCATTCTTTTGGTTTTATCATGTGAATGAATGAATGAATGAATGAATAAATGAATGAATGAATGAATTCACCGCTTGTGTAAAATGATGTAATCCTCTGCTAGCTTTCTAAAGGTGACATGTTATGGTATCAGTGTTTTCTTGTTTGTATTTTTAGAAACTTTTGCTCAGTGGTGTGCTTAAGTCTTTTGCTGATTGATACACATTTGCTTTGATGTGAGTCCCTAGTTATATATTTATTTTGTGTTCTATATGCTTTTACGTTATATTGGTTTCTTATTTAATATGACAAGTTTCTTTGAATTGCATTTCTAAATGTAAAAATGAAACAAACGTTGTTGATGGACAGACAGTTATTAATTTTCTGTCTAAAGAAGTGAGTAAAAGCAACCATGAAGAGGCATTTATCAAGTGAGCTGTTTGTTTGATCAGTGAAATTATGTGATCAATTTCTGAAATGAAGATATAATCAGAAATATTTATTTAATTGATTTATGATAATCAAATAATTTGTAAGCATGTGAATGAGGCATTCCTCCATCTGATGGCTGTGTTAATGTGTGTAGTAGATATTTTGCTATATTTTGCTTACTGCTTACATTGAGCTAATTCATAATTTTCAATTCTAGGTAGAACTGCAAAATGTTGAACACTTTGTAAGTTGTATGAAGTTGTATGTCTTAAGTGAATAATCTTAATACTGCATTGTCCTTTAATGTTAGCTGCAACAATTATTATCATTTTCATGTGGCAAGGAGTTGTCTCCCTTGCACCACACAGGTTAACTTGTGTTTTAAAGTAAATGTAAGTTATACCTCTGTGACCGAGTGAAATGGTGTTGTGATGTTCTGGCTGTTGTGACTGTAACTTGAAGGGACCAAATGGCTGATTGTCTGTATGACTGATATTCACTTACCATTTATTAATAGCCTAATATTAATGGCACCATTCATTTAATATTCAAGAGTGTGTGTTATATTTCTCTGTTGTAGTTTACAGTCAAAGGTGTGAAATGTTCTATGTTTTACTATGTGCTGTGATGAAGACTGTAAGATAAACTGTTATTCAAATTTGTGAAAACTGAGCTTGCTTTCCTCATTCCTTGAATGACAGAGAAAGTATTTATGTGACCAATCAGGAAGCAATTGTATCAGAGGAACATCATTTAATTATTTGCCCATGTTGTTTATTTGTACACAGATATATGCAATAGGTGTCTCACCGTGGGCTGTGTGTCTTCATTCCATATTCAACTGTTTGCAAAAGGTGGGATGCATTTTGTGATTTGATAATTTATGTTGAGTCACTTATGTTAAACCTGTATCACCTAACGAAGCAGTTATTGTGTTGACATTGTGATTGCGTTTAGTAAAACCCATCAGCTGTAAGTCTTCTGAGTGTTGAGGATGCACAAAGATGGTGGAGGATTCAACCTGGAAGAACATTCTGAGCTGATACTTCTTTGTGTTATTGCCAGACATACATTTTCAATGTTCATAACTCAGGCACATTTTAGCTATCATTACATCATTATTATCAGTTTGGAAACTTTGAGTTATGATATTTCTACAACACAGAGACAATGCCTGTGTCTTGCATGTGACACAGAAACAATGCCCCTGTCTTGCATGTGACACAGAGACAATGCCTGTGTCTTGCATGTGACACAGAGACAATGCCTCTGTTTGCATGCATGTGACACAGAGACAATGCATGTGACACTGTCAATGCCTTGCATGTGACACAGAGACAATGCCTCTGTCTTGACACAGATGTGACACAGACACAGACAATGCCTCTGTCTTGAATGTGTCTTGCATGTGACACAGAGACAATGACACCTGCCTGTCTTGCATGTGACACAGAGTACAATGTCCAGACAGCAGGGAAGGAAAGAGACAATGGCATCTGAGAGACAATGCCTCTGTGGATCAGACTCAGGCTATGAATAACACTCCACACAATGCAGAATTTTTCGGTGCCTCTCTTTTATGCTGTTAATGGCTGATCCATGTTCAGTTTGTTTTACGTATATAAATATATTTTCAGATGCATTTCTTAATTGACTGACAAATTGAAACCCATGTGACATTAAGTATGTCATCCTCATTTGTCAGGGGGATTATTGAGCCTCCATTCCAATAGCAATACAGATAGCCTGACCCACACATCACAAGGTTTTGCCACAGGAGTGCCATCACAATCTCCAAATTACCTTTTTTGCATAGTTTAGCTGAAGTCTACATTCAAAATAGATGCATCCTGTAAATGAGACCTCAATATTTATTTAAAATGTGGGCTTAAACTATGAATAACAATGAAATTTGGACTTGAAAATATGTCTTGAGTATATAGACATGGAAACTTGTTTTTGTTATCCCCCGCCACGGATATAGTATTAGGCTCCGTCCGTACGTACATACGAATTGGAATATCCAGTCAGGTTTGGTGACCTTGACCTTCATTTCAAGGTCACAAGGGGACTTTTAACGTTTTACCCTTGTCAGCGTGATATCTCAAGAACGGTTCACTGGATTTTCTTCATATTCAACACCAAGCTTTATCTAGGGAAGGCGCAGGGCCCAGTTGATTTTGGTGACCTTCACCTAATTTTCAAGGTCATGGCGACACTCTGAAGATTTGAGCATGTTAAGCTGCATGTTAAGCTTGTCAGCGAGATACCTCAAGAACCGTTCACTGGATTTTCTTCATATTTGACACCAAACTTCATCTGGGGAAGGTGCAAGTTCCAGTCGAATTTGGTTACCTTCACATAATTTTCAAGGTCACGGCGACACTTTGAAGACTCTAGCATGTTAACCTGCATGTAAAGATTGTCAGCGAGATATCTTAAGAACCATTCACTGGACTTTTTTCATATTTGACACCAAGCTTCATCAAGGGAAGGTGCAAGTTCCAGTCGATTTTGGTTACCTTCACATAATTTTCAAGGTCACGGCGACACTAAACATTTCAGCATCTTAAACTGCATGTTAAGATTGTCAGTGAGATATCTCAAGAACAGTTCACTGGATTTTCTTCATAGACTTTCAAAACTTCCCTTGAATGTTTGTCAATAAGCAATTTCTTTATTACTATTTTTGCATATTTCATACACTAAGATATTCATGTCAAGGTCAATGTGAGTCTTGAAAATATTTGTGTGTTTGAACAACTACAGAGCAAGATATCAAGCGAGGTTGACTGGTCATGTTTTTGTTTACATTTAACTTCATCTTAAATTACAACCTTCACTTTCATTACTTTTTAAATTTGATTTGATAATTTGTGGCGGGGGGATTTTGTCACCTTGGTGACAATGCTTGTTGTGTTTGAGACAGTACACAAGATAAGACAGGGGAAGTATTGGTCGTATCATTATCAGAGTTCCTGTTATCAATTTCCCGTAATTTGATTGCCAAACTTTTATACTTGACAACTGGACAAAATGATGTTGCATGGTGATCAGGTCAAGACTATTTATCATCCTGGAACAGAGACGTGATGCAGGACCTGATAATTGGGGATGTCAGTATGTCCAGATTTCATCCACCTTTTCAGTATCAACCACACAGTCAACACATGGTACCCCACAGTTTACACATGATACTGAGTTACAAGTAATATTAGTCAATTCATGGTACCACACAGTCAACACATGGTACCAAGTTACCAAGTGGTAACAGTCAATTCAGGGTACCACACAGTCAACACATTGTACTGAGTTACCAAGTGGTAACAGTCAATTCAGGGTACCACATAGTTAACACATTGTACCGAGTTAACAAGCAGTAACTGTAGTGGTTCCTGTTTGAAGCATTATTTCTAGTAGCGGTGTCTCTCCTACTAGTCTAAGGGAGACAACTCTGTACAGGGGCCCCGGTAATAAACATGGCTACCTACTCCAGGCTTGTTCACTGCTCAACACTAACATGTTAGATTCAAGTCGTTACAACTAACACAACATTAACTATCAAATAATGGAACAACACAGTTAACACATTGTACCTCAGAGTTCTACTCATTGTACCAAAGTTAACACAGTCAGTGCATGGTACCAGAGTTAACACAGTCAGTGCATGGTACCACAACGTCAACACATTGTATCAGTTAATTCATTGTACAGTTAGTAACCAGTCAGCTCATGGTGCCACATATACCGATGGTATCCACAGAGTTAACAGTGCCTTGTACTGGGATGCTAGTCTGACACTGGTGTATGACAAGGAAGTTCCTTCATCCACGTTCTGTGTAGACCTTTATAAAACGGAAGAAGATCTGTACTAGTCATTATGAAGTCTGGTATAAAAGCTGAGATAAGGAGAAGTGAGATACTGACACCAATTATGACAAAAAAATGTATCAAAAGTTAGTGTAAATAATGTACATGTATTTGACAACAAAATAAGAATGTGTCAAAAGTTGCTAGTTTTGTTTTATGTACTATCAGTGATTATAGCCGATATATAATGGTTTGTATATGTATTTGTAAATGTTTAACTCAATTCAATCAGGTCATTAGGAGTATGTTAATGCAGGCTCAGTCACAACTTGTCCGTGTTTTTGTATCTGTCTTCGTTCAGTTCCCTTTAGTCTTCTCTGTACTGTGGGTCCAGGCCAGGACCATTCTGTTGACGTTCAAAAATAAAATGTACCTTGACTAACTTATTGTGTTTGTGTGTATGCTGTGGGTCCCACTAAGGAGGCTGAAGCAGCAAGAGCATTTTATACTGCAGCAATATTTCAGCACTATAAATGTATGCCAGCATGTTGGAATAGTATAACTGTGATAGTTTATGCTGCAGCAACATTTACATGCCTTGTCAGCAGTTTGGGCCAACCACAAACAGCTAGTGTTCATGCTGCAGCAACATTTACGTGCATTGTCAGCAGTTTGGGCCGAGCACAAACAGTGAGTGATCGTGCTGCAGCAACATTTACGTGCCTTGTAAGCAGTTTGGGCCGAGCACAAACGGCGAGTGTTTGTGCTGCAGCAACATTTACATGCCTTCTCAGCAGTTTGGGCCAAGCACAAACAGCTAGTGTTTGTGCTGCAGCAGATTTCAGCAACATTAACATGTTAGTTAGAACCTGCAGACCAGCGAACGTTAATGCTGCAGCACCATCAATGTAATGGTAAGCAGTAGGATGAATCGTGTGAAACAATTCATGTTACTGGGGTACCATGACAATATTTCTAACTACTCCATACTCGAAGGATGAGGACTATTTTTATGGATATACAACTTCTTTATTCTGTATAGGTGACGTTTCGACATAGATTCTAATGTTGTTGTCAAGCAAGTGATACATGAGAAGTAACTTTGGGTGATATATATACATGAGATGTTTGGACAGTAGATGAAGCATGAGGTGAAATTGAGTTGTTTATACAATAGATGAGGTTGATAACACAGAGGCGAAATTGAGTTGTTTATACAATAGAAGAGGTTGATAACACAGATAGTATACAGGATTAAGTAGGTTGATGGAAGCCAGTTGATGGAAGTACATGGTTGTATACATAAGGGGTTAAGGATGTTGATTGGCAACAAGGGATAATGTACAATGGCTGGGTAGGGTTACATGAAAATTAATTCAGCAAGTGATGATAGGCCTTGGGGATGAAATATCCTTCATCTCTGTTGATAGATGGGCTAATCTTTATGTGGACAGCTTCAAGTAGTTTGCGGGTTTTGAAGTCATCCTTGTTCCTCTCGATGATCTTGGTGGTGTTCCAACTGATGTTGTGGTTTGGATTGGCTTTATGGTGGTCAGCTATGGCGGATTTGAGTCTTTGTTTCGAATGACAAGAAGTTAAAAACACCATCGTCTACCGCAAACCAACCCATACGGACCAGTATCTCCATTTCTCCCCCAGTCACCCTATCCAAGTCAAGAGAGGGATAATCTCCACCCTGACCAGACGAGCCAAGAATATCTGGTGAATAAACATGGTGCATACTAAAACTTGGCATGCATTAATGTATAATGTGGAATGTCAATTGACCGAAATATGGATTCTACACCCAGCAAAAAAGCCAGATCCCGCAGGTGTCATCTACCAGATAGAATGTGACTGCGGCATATCCTACCTTGGTGAAACCTCCTGACCAGTCACCATTAGGATCAAAGAACACCAGGCCTCAGTAAGAAACAAAGACTCTAAATCCGCCATAGCTGCCCACCATAAAGCCAATCCAAACCACATCATCAGTTGGAACACCACCAAGATCATCCAGAGGAACAAGGCTGACTTCAAAACCTGCAAACTACTTGAAGCTGTCCACATAAAGAAGATTAGCCCATCTATCAACAGAGATGAAGGATATTTCATCCCCAAGGCCTATCATCACTTGCTGAACTAATTTTCATGTAACCCAGTCATTGTACATTATCCCTTGTGTCCATCACTACTGGCTTCCTAACAGTACCTTATCACCTATGTATACACCTATGTACATCACTCCCTACTGGCTGCCAATCAACATCCTTAATCTCTTATGTATACAACCATGTACTTCCATCAACTGGCTTCCATCAACCTACTTATTCCCTAACTGCCTACAGGTTAAAACAACATGATAGGGTCCAGTGATCAGGAGTGAAGTTAATGGGAATACACCGCTCTGACCTGTTCTACCCCTGCTAGAATGAACTTGACCAGTTACTTGGTTAATGAACTGACCTGTTCTATGGTGTCTTCCCACTCTGCCTACAGAAGTTTAAAAAATGACAAGTGTTGGTTGGTTTATTCATTCTGAGAATTCTCCGTCTTTACATGGAGACGTGGATATATCATGAAAAATTGATAAGTTTTACAGTCTTTTACTGGTTTTACAGTCTTTTACTTGTTTCACAATTACACACAACTGACAAGGATGTCCATTTCGTTGCCATGGACTCCGATATTTGACGGGACCCAGATCAAATGTATTTGATTATTTTTGTTTTGGTGGTATAGTATTCTTCTGTATATGTTATTTATTAGATGTGGTCTTTTGGTTGTAGAGTAATTTTTGAGAGCCTGTATGGAGCTTAAGGAATCCGTAAAAATGCAGATGGTAGTGTTTGTTTGGTCAGATGTTGTTTACAAGGCCGGAACTATGGCTCCGAGTTCTGCTGTGAAGATACTGGAGTTTGCCGGGAGATTATAGGATTGTTTAACGCTTTTTGGGGTATGTGTTATCTGTGTTATCAACCTTTTCTATTGTATAAACAACTCAATTTCGCCTCTGTGTTATCAACCTCTTCTATTGTATAAACAACTCAATTTCGCCTCTGTGTTATCAACCTCTTCTATTGTATAAACAACTCAATTTCGCCTCTGTGTTATCAACCTCTTCTATTGTATAAACAACTCAATTTCAGCCTCTGTGTTATCAACCTCTTCTATTGTATAAACAACTCAATTTCACCTCTGTGTTATCAACCTCTTCTATTGTATAAACAACTCAATTTCGCCTCTGTGTTATCAACCTCTTCTATTGTATAAACAACTCAATTTCACCTCTGTGTTATCAACCTCTTCTATTGTATAAACAACTCAATTTCACCTCTGTGTTATCAACCTCTTCTATTGTATAAACAACTCAATTTCACCTCTGTGTTATCAACCTCTTCTATTGTATAAACAACTCAATTTTTAAGCCTCTGTGTTATCAACCTCTTTTATTGTATAAACAACTCAATTCTCAGCCTCTGTGTTATCAACCTCTTCTATTGTATAAACAACTCAATTTCGCCTCTGTGTTATCAACCTCTTCTATTGTATAAACAACTCAATTTCGCCTCTGTGTTATCAACCTCTTCTATTGTATAAACAACTCAATTTCGCCTCTGTGTTATCAACCTCTTCTATTGTATAAACAACTCAATTTCGCCTCATGCTTCATCTACTGTCGAAACATCTCATGTATTTATATCACCCAAAATTACTTCTCATGTATCACTTGCTTAACAACGACATTAGAATCTATGTCGAAACGTCGCCTATACAGAATAAAGAAGTTGTATATCCATAAAAATAATCCTCATCCATCATCGACCCAACTTCTAGAATGCCAATGAAAGAAGTACTCCATACTCATTTTAGCATTATCATTCCATCCAGCATCAGCTGGTCACATCTTTGGTAACATGGAAATACTGTTAGTTGTTTTTGGTGGGAGGGGGTTTAAACTACATTAGATTTAGTTCCAATTACCTTTCTTCCTAAACAGTTACTTTATTATCCAAAACTGAAGCACAGGCTTCTGTACATACATTTGATCCCATGGTTGGTTGCTTTATGTCATAAGAACTTCTCTTTGGAGGCTGCAAATCTGGTACCATTTGGGATTGCTCTGAAAACCGAGGAGGATAATCGCAGCGTCAGCTAACCTTTGAGCAACCTATGACCGTCCAATCAAATGCGAGACGGCCGAACAGATTTAACCAATCAGACGACTACTTGTTACGGTTCGGTGGGACTTACAAAATGGTTATTGAATTTTCTCTTCCCTGGTCGCTGACACTGATCTATCGACAAACGAAAATCTGCATAAAACACAGATATTTGACCTGCAGTATAAACGCTTATGGGTTTCTAATGACATGGTTACTATTTGCTTATATTTTCGCAAGATGACATCCTTGAATATTGACCAAAACACTAATTTCAGTAATTGTTCACTCATTGCATGTATCACTCAGAAGCGATCGTGCGGAAAATAGCATTCAGAATCATTTGAGTCTTTGAGGTAAAGGTTCAAACAGTATGTGCGAATGTTAACTTTCGTGATTTGGTAAGCTGTGTTCTGATTGGTCAGTCCAAAAGGTTAGCTGACGCAAACTTCTACAAGGTTTTGTTAGACTCAGTATAGCAGTGTAACGAATAATACTGAGCCTAAGTTTACTAAGACTGGTTATCTCCAGAAATTCACCATGAATTTGTCTGATTTTAGGCAAAGGTGCGTTAGGTGTACTTGCAGATCACAGCTGAGGGTGAAAATGGGTTAACGTCATACTTAATATTTTGCTCAAATGACGACGTGCATATGTATGTGGGGCTGCTTGTACTAGCCCAGACTTAAGCTGGTTTCATAGTGCTAGCTCACTGACATACCATGCTGCAGTTAAGCATGAATACACCACTCAACACATTATACTGACTCTGAGCCTACCAGTTCTTGTTGTACACATTAATGCCGAGCGCCAGGCAGGGACCAACAGTACCATATTTTAACGTATTTTGATATGATGCGACCAGGGATCGAACCTGCAACCTTCCGCTCTAACCACACCACCACGGATGCGGTAGATCAGTTTAAAGTGACCTTGAACTCATTTTCAAAGTAATTGATGTGAATGTTGACCTATATCAAGAACCTCAATCTGGATTTAGTTTTAACTGGTGCATGTGCAGATCCTGTTGATAAAGGCAACCTTTTATTAGGGTCATTGAGATACCTGATCGGTTTGTTCAAGTAAGAATAAGTACACAACAATTATGTATGATGAGATTGTCAGATGCCAACATCCAAGATACCAGTGATGGATACCCTTTCTCACTGGATGAGAATTCACAAATATTTTAAGAAATATATTCAAGTTGTGTTCAAAAGATTGCATCCCATGTTTTCCAAGGTTACTTTTGCATCCCTTGTAACCTTGAGTAAGTTACATAATGCTAAAGTAGGTAATGCTACGTGGACATACAGGAAGGCTTTCCATCAAAGTAATGGACATATCCATCTCAAGTGCCTGCAGAGGGACAGAGTGAGTGAGTTTGGTTTTACGCCGCTTTTAGCAATATTCAAGCAACATCACGGTGGGGGACACCAGAAATGGGATTCACACATTGGACCCAAGTGGGGAATCGAACCCGGGTCTTTGGCATGCCCAGCCAACGCTTTATCCACTAGGCTACCCCACCGCCCCGCAGAGGGACAGTATTCTGTAACTGATGTCTTTCCTCTTCCATCTGTGCATTATCAGATTGTATCACATACCATACAACAAAGTACTTGTCACTTTGGCATTTATTCACATATCCACACTGTAAATGCTAGTTTAGTTTGAGAAATCGACACCTCCATATATAATTCCAATGAACAGTGGAAACCTGTAAGACAGCTGTGTAGTAAAAAGGACACATTAAATAATGTGTTATTAATCACAAACACCCTTAAGGAATACCTGAACACAACCATACATTCACATTTTTCAGAAAGTTACTGTTACCCATGTTATCAACAAGGCAAAAGGTCTAAGAATTGGTGTAATATCAGCCCCACTGCTTCTTTCTTCAGTTAGCAGGGGACTCCTAATTTACAATTTAAACATTTTGAAGTTGCAGGTACTTGCTTTCACATCTGATTTTGAGAATTCCTCAATCTGAGAAAACAGACACAATACTTCACATTTCATATTTATTCAGAAGCTTATCGTTTTTCAAATTTCCATTCTAAAAATGTACAAAGATGGTGAGGCCAGGTACACAAATAGGCTACACTTTAGTTTAAAATTTATGATCTGCTCTGGAATGTAAATAATGCATCACATGAATGGATGCTGCTGGTATGTCAACAGATTCGGCTTGTGTCCAGAGTTGGATTTATACATCTGTATTCACCCGAGTCCAAACATCTGATGCACTACCAACATCCCACTGAAGTTGTTATAGTTTCTATACACCATGCATGCTAAATGAATCCAACCTGCTTCTCCAAAATGGTTTATCTAACAAGTCGATCAAGTTCGGCCAACAGTAATTAACCAGCGATAAAATCACAAGGCCCAGGCAGTTTTGCCCACTGAGAGAGAACTTCATCACGTTCACTAAGGGTACCAAATGCCGATAGTGATGATCAAAACACACAAGTCTTGACAATGTGAAAGGTATGTGACATTTTACATGATAAAAAACAAGATATACCGACAAACTCAATACAAGAACTCATAATTGTGAAGCTTACATGAATGCTAGCGAGAAGAAAGAAAAGACAATCTGGAATAGACTTGAAAACCAATTCATATCAACACTTGAACAAATGACAGTGGTCTAATATTACTTCTCCAAATACTTGAATACTGTATGATTAATGTTTTCAGTTAATCAGCTAATACTCTTTACCACTTAAACATTGCCGCAAAACATAACCATGACAACTGGATTGATACAAGGGACTCGAACTTAAATTGGTCAGTAACTAAGAGTACACTTGAATGGCAGCATCTCAGCGGCCACAAACACCTAACCTTCTCACAAAATATCTGCAGAAAGTTGAAACGGGTTACTGATATCAATGAACGATGGAAGATGTGATACATTAGCACTTTCTTTACAATCTGAATGATGTATAAACAAACCAGCATTCTATGACATGATTCGAGTTCTTCACAGTAATGGTGGGTTCATTTGTCATAAAAAAAATTAAAAAATTCTCCCAGCTTGACAATGTCAAAAAATGTTTTGAACACCATTAAAACACTGTACGAGACAAAATGCTACCAGATTGATCAAAATTAAAAAATACAATTAATTATAACCATCAAGCCGACAATTTCCATCTTGAATGCCCTAATCTGTTTTCATAACTGTCCACAATGTGCTAATAGAAAACTACTTTGACAGTTTGATTTCTTTGGTTGTGACAAATGATGCTAAGATCCACAGAAATACTGAGAGAATCTGTCTTGACTTCCCTGGATGAGGAGCTTACTCCCAAACTGCAAGTTTCAGCTCTTTTGTCACGATCCGTGAAAATATCGTCCTTGTTAATGACGACAGCTGTTGGGGCCAACAGATCCATGTTAAAATACATTCCCTCTTTCCCCATGGTGATGTTTAGTTTCCATGGAAACAATGTTTATACACAATGAGTTTGATAAAACAATGACTGTCTTCAACTGTAGTTTTAAGACTTGTTTTCATCTTTTCCTTTCTCGTCGTCGTCGTTGTCATTATGTGTATGCCAGGTGAGTCGCTCCTCATAAAAAGCAATTACTATCTGTGGACACTTCACGTTTGCCTGTCTCGCTGGTACTAAATCTGCCTCATCACTGTCCTTCCTGTAAAAGAACCCAGAGAAAACATAAACATCCATACCACCTTTGTGCCATGACAGAATTAATCAAGTAACAGTCCCATGCCAGATCCATTGAGTTGACTTCAACAAGCACGGTCGATGGGACCTCTACTAATCAGGGACCAACTCCACTTAGCCATCGTAGTACTACCACAACTTTAAGTTCATGTGGGAAAGCCGCTATAACTTGGTGGTTGTGATAGTTGTATGATCCCCAGAGAGTTGAGATTGATAATACGATGTGCCGTTGAGATCGACATCCAATGATTCTGAGAGAGTGAAAGAGGAGAGAGAGAAAGGGGAGAGAGGGGAGGAGGGGGAGAAAGAGGAAAGAAGGGAGAGAGAGAGAGAACAATAACAAAAATAACCCACAGCGCCTTGAACATATACTAGTTGCGTGGATATGTGCGCTATATAAATATCCTATAATAACTAATAGTATAATGTAAAACAGAGGTTTAATGACCATCTAACTGATGGGACTACTTGGTGGAATGTAGTCTTGGAATCCCTCAATCTGAATATTTTTTTCACATTTTTTTTTTAAGAGGCAAAAATATTTATTCACACAATATAGTACTAAATAACTAAAACAATATGTATCCAAGCCCTGAAGGTAGGTCATTGCATAGCAGCAAGTTATATGGGACCATCTGTTTGATGTTCTGGGAAGAGGGCTGCGATGGAGATTAGCTATTTTTCAGCAACAGGTGCCAAAACATATGTTTGTTTATTAATAATCGAACTGACATGTAACATTCTCACCTATCACCTATTCGTGGAATGACAGACTAATCTTAGACTACATGAAGTCTCCAAATATAAAGTATTTAAAAGTGAATAAAGTATGTAAAATTGAGGGCAGATTCATTTAAACACTTTACAAAGATCTTTGCCGATAACTGGAGATCACAGATGCCCAACCTTGTTGGCACTGGTCTATTGCATCCTTCAAACATAGCAATAAAAGATAGCACAGCATAATCACGGTTTGGAGCAAATTAATTACTGTGGCAACTTCCAATGAAGTCACAGAGCTCCAGATAAGATTTAGCTCATGTGGGTACTGTATCCACTGTATTTTTTTTGAGTGGGTATTATGAATGTTGAGTGGGTATTTCATTATCCGTTACCCACTGTTTTCAAACGTGCGTATTTCAGTCATTTTACTCACCTAAGTACTATGTGACTAAGTAAGTTTACTAAGCAGGTATGTTCTGCCTTATGACTATGTCATACCTAATCAAAACCAACTTAAATATAATGGAAATGAGTTCATAAAAAATCACTCATCCTAAATGGACAGTACAGCACTTGTCCTATACTAACAGTACAACTTGATAGCAAACAGTGTCTTTTTCATTACGCAAGCGATTTTAATAAATATATTCCGTAAGCATTTGTTTAAAACTTTTTGCGTATCTAACATTTTAAATGCGTAATTGGTACTCAACAATTATTTTTCAATACGTAATTGGAAATTTTATATGCGTATTTTACCAGGATACGCAGCTTATCTGGGCCTCTGAAGTCAGTTTTTGGAACAGAATATTACAACCTCCTGGTTCCTGAAAACAATTTCTGGTCATTCAGCTTGTCCATGAATTGTCGTTTAATGCCACAAACATCCCTAAGTAATCAAACATGTAAGTAATCAAATCTAGACAATATTGTGACTGATACTAGCAACAATGCCTTACGGCAAGACAGAATCTGCAGTGCCTGGTAACCTTATCCATTCATAGACTGAAAATTACGCAAGTCTGAGGCGCAAGATGAGACATTTTACAAGTTTTTAAACTGTCATTTGGTCCTGTGGACTAGCTCCTATTCAAATGATACCAAATTACCAGTTACTTTCACCTCAACATACGAAATATCTGACAGATCTATTTTCTAAGCATGGAAATTGCTTGGGTGGTGAGGTGGTAAGCTGGGTCCAAAGACCCAGTGTTTCCGTTCTCTGGTATATACCAAATTTTGACAGGTAAAAATTGCCCAGGACCGATAAATTTGGAAGCTATCGGTCACTGCGTCCGGTAAGATAACAAAACTATTTTTGTTGTTGTCCTGCTTAAAATGTTACTGAAATTAAAATAAAATAGCTCAAATAATCCCCTAGTAATAGAATCGGCGTTTACGATTTTCGTGTGAGATGAGTAGTGGTGGTCTAATTAACTCTTTCAACACCAGTCAACCAGAGGCATTTACTGCCATGACACCGAGTTCCCAGAGACTCTGAGGTCATAGATGAAGCCTATGTTTATGAAGGAAATTATAAGCTTGTAAAACGTTATTGCTACTACATCCCATACACAATTTAAAAGATCTAATCCTACTGTTGATAAATATGAAGTTTATTTTTATAATATTATTAAATTTATACAACTACAACTTAAATAAATTTATATTTGAATGAAAATGCAAGCTTACATTTATAACGTCCAGATAAACCACGAAAGGAGCAAAAGCTATGGCGATTTTTTCCATTTGTGACATGTCACAATATGCCCGTGCCTTTTTCTTTTATATTTTCATCTTTACGTAATCAGAAAATTATTATAAAAAGATTTCTTTAACAATATGTATGGTCGCCTATTTCCCGATATCTGTGGCTTTCCGCTCGGTAAAATGACATAACAACTGAAAATACCTCCATTTTTGAAGCTTCAGTATGAATAACATGCTGCAAATCGTTTGATGTCGGGCATCGCTCGAAAGCTCTGAACATCAATAATATCACTGTACCCTTGTCAAGAGTATTTTCACAGTTGTAAGAAGCGATTTTATTGGATAAAAATTGGTTTCTAATGACGCTTTTTCGCCACAGTCTGCTATAAGGGTCGTCATTGGTCAAAATCAGACACGTGACCTAAGGCAGCCAATCATATTACAGCAATGGATATCGTCCTAAATAAGAAACGAAAACCTTTAGATTTAGACAAAAGTTTTGGGTAAAATAATGGTATTCTGAACATATTAAGCAAGAAATCGCTACCTATACGTAAATTATGGAACTTATTGGATGTATCGTGCTTGGTTATGACCTGTGACAAAAATGTAATTTTTGGAGTAAAATTGATATTTTATACTTATCCTGACTCATGCTCTTTTTGCTTGTCTTCTTCTTCTTGCGAACATAGTGGAACACTTGTATCTCCCTAATTGAAGCTCCCTTCAATTTAAAATCACTAATTAGTATTCACCACGAAGTTACCTCCTTTCCACAAGCTGGAAGCAGGGGCCACCTCTACCCATGTGCCTCACTCTCTCCTCATATACTGAGCCCAACATTTGAATTTACAGGGAAATCCAAAGTGTTATTTGGGAGGATGGGAGGGCTGACCTCATGAGTCAGGATAAGTATAAAATATCAATTTTACTCCAAAATTACATATTTTTTCCTTATCCTGACTCATGCTCTTTTGCTTGTAGCATCCTACGGAACGGAGGTGGGAATATCTAATACTTTGGATTTTTAATAATTAGTGATTTGAACTGTGATGATTGTAATAACCCTATGGGAACTTCATAAAAGGCACTGAACTGATGAATTCCTGCTGCTAACTTATCAGCTGCCATATAAAAGGTTATTACCATGTACTTATTATGATAAAGTATATATAACATTAATACAATGCTTAAGACTAATAGACTTAAGCTTGTTAATATGCTAGTATAAACTCCTTAGAGTTTGTTAGCTAAAATACTTTAAGATATAACATAGTACTAAGCTTAAGATATGATTAAACTTAAGCTAATTATATAATAAGCAAACTCTTTAGAGTTTGTTAGTTAATATACTTATATGATATAGATATAATGCTGAGCTTAAGATATGAATAAGCTTTAGCTACATATATAATAGCAAAACTCTGTAGAGTTTGTTAGTTAATATATTTTTATAATATGAGTATAGTACTGTGCTTAAGCTATAATTAACTTAAGCTACATATATAATAGCCAAACTCTGTAGAGTTTGTTAGCTAATATATTTTTATAATATTAGTATAGTACTGAGCTTAAGATATAATTAACTTAAGCTACATATATATAGCAAAACTCTGTAGGGTTTTGTTAGCTAATATATTTTTACAATATGAGTATAGTAGTGTGCTTAAGATATAATTAACTTAAGCTACATATATAATAGCAAAACTCCGTAGAGTTTGTTAGCTAATATATTTTACAATATGAGTATAGTAGTGTGCTTAAGATATAAAGAACTTAAGCTACATATATAATAGCAAAACTCCGTAGAGTTTGTTAGCTAATATATTTTACAATATGAGTATAGTATTGTGCTTAAGATATTATTAACTTAAGCTACATATATAATAGCCAAAAAACTCTGTAGAGTTTATTAGCTAATATGTTTATAGTGTAACCATAGTACTAAGCTTAAGATAAGATTAGACTTAAGCTAAATGTATATAGCAAAATAAACTCCTTAGAGTTTATTAACTAATATACTTTTTATGTTAAAAACATAGTACTGAGCTTAAGTTATGATGAAACTTAAGCTATATATATATAATAACAAAACTCCGTCGGGTTTTGTTAGCTAATACCTTTATAATGTAAACATACTGCTTAAGATATGATAAAAACTTAAGCTAATTGTATAATAGCGAAAACAACCCTTTAGAGTTTGTTAGCTATGATATAAACCTAGTATTGAGCTTATGAAGGAAAACTTAAGCTACATATATAATAGCAAGAACTCCCAGAGAGTTTGTTAGCTAATACATGTTATAATGTAACCATAAAGCTTAAAATATGATAAAACTTAAGTTGAAATATATAATAGCAAAACCCTCTTTTAGAGTTTTGATAGCTAATATACCTATATGATATAAACATAGTACTGCGCTTAAGATATGAATAAGCTTAAGTTACATATATAATAGCTAAAACTCTGTAGAGTTTGTTAGCTAATACATGTTATAATATAACCATATTGCTTAGAAATATGATACTTAA